AAACAAAACTTTCTCCCAATTCATCATGAAAAGAACGGGTTCACATCGGATCAGAGAGCGTCTCAGTCGTGTTAATACTTTTTACCTGCATGCAAACATTTTGACCTGGTTGTTCCATGCATATGGATTAAATATATCAGCTTTGTTCCAAGTATGTTTAACAAACTTTGCTTCCAGCTACCGCAAAGTGTAACATGAACCGATAAAAAAGGCAATTAATTAGAACTAGTACAGGCACAAATGGAGTTGGCCCATCAATCTCTTATCCGAGGAGGACGTAGGCTAAGGTAACCGTACCCATCCCCCTTTATCCTCGGAGGTGGATACGGCTATACGCAGGCTAAGCACGGTGACCTATCCTTTTCGAATCAACACATTTTTAGAAACGGATTTCGCTAAAGACCTATCCTTTTATTGCATTTTTCGAAAATTCCAAAAAAAATCGACGTTCGACAACTTTTATTCCTTATAAATCACCTTAGGAGGCAAAAATGTTGTGATGTTTTTCAGCAAAAGGGGCCGGCAGAGCTGCACCCAGAGACTGGTATTTTAATTTAGATGGACCACTGTAATGTATATTTGTCTACCAATATTATGACCGGCAAATTTAAAAGACAGGTAACAAATAGGATAATACTATGTCTCAAAGTGTTATAACATTGAACAAACAACTAAGTAGAAAAAGTAGCTTTTTTAACAAACGTGTCCCAATATGATTGAAACACAAACGCAACCTCTTTCTCGGCTAAATTCTAGCAATCCGGCCTTTTGCTGTTATTTTCTAGCCTGCGAACAGACTCCCGGTTGGGTTTAGTGCGAGCTAGCTGAGTGTGGTTTTTGTGGTCTAGGACGCGCGGGGTGAGCTGAAAGCGGTTTGGTGACAAGAGAGAGCGCATGGGAGCCTCCTCCGCTCTCACTCGCTTCGCTAGCGGTTTCCTTGTTTTACGCTAAACGTCTTACGGATTCTTTGTTTCACGCTTAACGGCTCGCTTCGCTTGCCGAATATTTTTCCCGCCCTCGCTGGGAGCCTGTTCGCAGGCAATATTTTCTTGTTGAGACTGAGCATATTGTGAATGTACAAATTTTCTACACAGTGTAGAAGTCGTAGAAGAGCTGAGATGGCGTCACGCAGTTAGTAGTTTTTATAATTTATCGTATTTCCACTTGAGTTAATTTGTCAATGATCTAATTGCCTTAAACGATAGAGAATTGGTTAAATTTATCTCGAAAACGGCGATTGGTAATCAGCGAAAGTATTAAGTGACACATCTTCTGGAAATGAACAAGCTATGTGAGACATGTAAAATCATTACCCCGAGCAGCCTGCAGGCACTTTTTTTTATCAGGGATGTTGTGGGTGTTGCAAGGCAAATGAAAAAATATATATAATTATACGAACTTACACAAAAAGAAAACATTTTTCATTATTCTTTGCACGTATGACGTTTCTGAAGATTTCTTTGAGCAGGTTGTCAGAAACGAATGACTATACGCGCGTCACGCAATTGTTTACTTTCCAGCGGCAGATTTTGGGCAAAATTGATGAATAACACAGGCCAAGCCGGGCGTCTTAAAACCATTTGTCTAGAAATATTTTTTGATTTTCAAACAGGTGGATGTACAGTTAACCCGTGGAAAGTGTTTTAAGGTGTTTTAAGTCATAGCCCATAGCAAAATAAGGCAATGTTTTAATCCAATAATTCGCTGTCAACATATTGTAAAATTTTGCGTGTCTGCTTGATCTCTTTTCGGGCTCAAAACTAACTTCGATTTAGTTTATTTTTCACTCAGTCATACCACGAAGACCTGAGGTGAATATAAAATCCATTGAAAGATTCTCAAGTAGCTGTTGTACCGAGCGCGAAGCAATCAAATATTCAGAAAATTCAGTAAAACCGGAAGTAGATTTTGAGCTCAATTGGGGCGAAATCGTTTTTGACATATTTCTACCAAAGAAAGCTGTATTAGCCGAAACTAACTATGGTCTGTTTCTATTCTTACTAGGACCTATCTATGGGCAAAAGACAAGTGAAATCAATCTTTCGACTTGTGCCACTGATAGGCGATTTTGGTCGATTTTTACAGGCATTCACTCTTAACAATTGTACTGCGGGAGTTCTGTTCGTTAGTCTGTTCTTCTTGTCAGCTATTTACTTTCTCCTTCCTTCCCACCCCACTCTCTCTCTCTCTCTTCCTTTTTTTCATTAGTTAAAACGTTATAGTACTGTTGAACACCTTAACGTGATATTAACATTTCTTTTTTTTCCATTAAGTTGTGCAAGCTCAAAAGATCCTAATAACGGTAACTGTCACAAACAGGGACTGTACCAATAACGCCCCAGAAATCTGCGAAACGGCAAGGAAAATGGTAAGTTGAATTATATCTTTTTTACTAACCAATTAACGACTACTTGGAATTTCTTATCGTCAAATTTGCTGCTACTTTTTTAGATATGGAATTATATTGAAAGCTCAGCCTTAAATTTTAATACCCTTGTGACCATTATTCGTACATTAGTGTGAACTGCGTTGAAAATGCTGCTAGGTTTTGGCACTGAATTGCATTGCCCTGATCCTTACTGTGCACGATTTCCGCGTCATTAGCGCGTGTGCACGAGCGCATGAACGTACACATCATTAATCTATCTTGATTGTTGTTTGACTTTTGACACTCGTATTGATACTTTAACGCCCTCTCTCTTCTCTACCCCGTGCACAATCATTATAGTATGGCATATGTTTGATAAATCTGTGCTCTTTATTATTCTTGATTCACTTGTATTCAATTAACTATTTTATTGTTCGACGGTATGGTCTGGCAGCACTGAGCAACATAAGGAAACTCTGACTGGTTCTGACTTTGACTGTATTTTTACTCGTGTGAGAAAGAACGATCATATCTCGCTAGCTCGCAACGATCTTGGTTCGCTACCAGTCAAGGTTCTCTTTATCCTCTAGGCAGTCCAATGACATTAAGCAAGTGTAGAACACCTTTGGCTCAACGCTCCTTTTTTCTATTGGGTTGCAAAACGTTGTTTTGAGTTGGACCACCAGATAAAAGAATTCTCCATAATCAAGCTTGCCATGAAAACCTCCTCCGTCTTCATGATGTGTATAATTCTTTCTCTTTGTATTGTGCCATTTTTAACCTTGTCATTTTTCCTTTTCAATTAAATAGCTTACATGTACAATGTAGGATCAAAGTCTACTGTCTTGAATGGTTCCAATATTTTAATACAAGAAATTATAGAAATTATAGTTCCCTTTCTGATAACTACATGTAGAGTTCCTAAGGAAAACGTCGCAGGTCAAATAGTTACTAAAACGGTCATCAATACATACTACACAAAAAAGAGCCCACTGACCCTCACTTTTAATTACCTTTTTGTAATAGACATAACATACAATATATGATCTTTCATATATTCACTTGTATCTTCACCATCTACGGGTATATTATGAACTTACAATGTGACCAGCTCCCAGTTGGCTTGATAGCTCAGTTGGTAGGGCACTGCACCAGTATCGCAAAGGACAGGGGTTCGAATCCCGTTCAAATCTGAATTGTTTCCAGAATTTAATTTCATAAGCTGTGTATATAACTGCGATGATCAGTCATGTCTTTTGACATAATATAATTGCTAAGTGG